CGGTGGTGGTTCTTGCAGATTATTACAGTTCTTCCCCTTCTGCTGTCCCTCAATGGTTGTTATTCTGAGGATGTTACTGTGCTTGGGGAGGTTCTACTCAATTTCAGTTTTGAGGGAGATGGCTTATATTATGCAGACATCTTTTCAATACCGGACGTTGGGCTTCTGGATTGATCTATCAATTTCTTATATTAATATGTACCCTGTTCATGGGTTTGGGGGGGGGGGGCACCTGGATTCCCTCTGATATCATGAACTTGAGGTGAAGGTGGTATAATCCTCTTTCCTACCCCCACCAGATGGCTGGGTTTTGGATTGTAGTTGACTTGCTGATGATATGAACCTCATCCTTCCCCTGTGTGAATGTCAGTTCCCAGCAACATGGGTTTTGGATGTAGTGGACTTGCTGTGTATGATCCATCGCACCTTAGCCACTCTAGATCTAGGGCACAACCTTTTAAGTTTACCCACTTTTATATTTTCTGGGATATGAGTTTCATGAATATAGCAGGGTTCAGATCACTATCCGGCCTAAAGTTCTCTCCCACTTGGATGTGCTCCTCTATTTTTCCACTCATGTATGTGACATATTTCTACAATGGGTGAAGAGTGTACCTGATTCAATAGTAGTAAGTTCTCCCACATCAGATCTTAGAATCTGACTAACTCATTTTAGGGAGTGTCCTTAGGACGCTTTTGAAGGATGCTTCTTTTTTTTCCCTCGCACCGATCCCTCCACCTATTCAATGTCGAATTCCAACTATTTATGTGAGAGGAGTAATGTACTGTATTGGAAGTTATAATTTTCCTATACTGAAAATGTATTTCTGCTCACACTTCCCATGCTTCCTACCCCACTGAGAACAAGTGCTTCCTCCTTCTGCCAAAACTCGAAGTGATAGTTCATTAGAATTGAACAGAGGGAGTCACGTGTCAAGAGAATATGTCGCACTCTTATTGGTGGAGGGTTGTTGCATAATGATTTGCATGAGAGACACATTGGAATCAGTCAATTCCAATTGAGGGGGAGATAAAAGGCTTGTGGCATGCATAAAAAACTTTTGCATATAGAGGGAAGCACTGAATGACAGTAGCTATTTATGTGAGAGGAAGTAAATATATTTTGCTTACATTCTGTAGAATTATCTATGATAAAGCAAAGATAGGTTCCAGTCTTGATTTTAATAAATTGACCATGAGAAAATAGAAGCAATTCTTTATTGTAGCATGCTCTTTATAGTGTTGGCTTTGAACATTATTTATAAGGTGTCTTCTGGAAATCCAGAGTCATTTAGAAATTACATTAGTTTTACTCATAGTTTTAACAGTTTATTACAAAAGATAAAAATGAATGGAAGATCAAATGCTAACAGTAATGTATAGAATTTTGTGAAGTTTTAGTTATTTTTTGCTTTTGTTAAGTTAATCCTTTTACAGTCAGTCCCCAATTAATGTCATTTGTCCATCAAGAAACATTGTAAATTAATAGTATATTCCACTGTTTTATGCATTACAATATATAAGACACACATTAAATATCTTGATGTTACACTGACAGTAACCTAAATCGTGGTAAAAAACACAGAGAAAATATGACAATCAGCTGAATTAATCCCCCATTGACTATAGTCGCTTTCCATGGGAAAATGGTTAATGAATTTTCATGTTAGAGATTTGCATTTATATGTCTTAAGTTTTCTCTTCAATTATGTAATTGTGGTACTTGTTCCTCTACTTGGGTTGTGTAATTGTGTTACTTGGTCTTCTACTTGGGTTGTGTAATTGTGTTACTTGGTCCTCTACTTGGGTTGCATAATTGTGGTACTTGGTCCTCTACTTGGGTTGCATAATTATGGTACTTGGTCCTTTACTTGGGTTGCATAATTATGGTACTTGGTCCTCTACTTTGGTTTGCCTAATTGTGGTACTTGGCCCTCTACTTGGGTTGTGTAATTGTGGTACTTGGTCCTCTACTTGGGTTGCATAGTTGTGGTACTTGGTCCTCTACTTGGGTTGTGTAATTGTGGTACTTGGTCTTCTACTTGGGTTGTGTAATTGTGGTACTTGGTCTTCTACTTGGGTTGCGTAATTGTGGTACTTTGTCCTCTACTTGGGTTGCGTAATTGTGGTACTTGGTCCTCTACTTGGGTTGTATAATTATGGTACTTGGTCCTCTACTTGGGTTGCGTAATTGTGGTACTTGGTCCTCTACTTGGGTTGCATAATTGTGGTACTTGGTCCTCTACTTAAGGTGAACTAGGGTGTAAATTTTAAGTTAAATATTTTATACTATTAGGTGTTTCCACTTCACCCATTATGAAAGAAGGATCTTGCTAGTGGATCTTAACATTGTATTTTGATCATAAACTGTAAATTACATAGTTTCTTTTTGGGACACCTGTGTCTGTTTTACAATACATATTTGTTTGTGTTGTGCAGTACAGAAACATTACTGATGATCTCTGTGTATTATAATTCTTTCTGTACAGTACCTAAGTAAAAATGAAGATAGGAAACGAAGAATATACATCAAGATGGTACAGAGAATATGAATATGAAAGACTTCTTTATGAACTGCAAACTGGAGATTTGATTGAATTTGAAAGAGGGTTTTATAAACATTGGGCAGTGTATGCTGGGAACAAAAAGGTTTATCATCGCGCATATCCTGAAGACGGTAACAGTTTTTGCATGTTTATTCAAAGTCATAGTGCTTTAAAAGATGTCTATAGATATGGTGAAATAGTTTTGGAAGACCTTCAGAGTGTGTGGGCAGACAGTGAAGCCAGGATTAACAACAGTATGGATAGTAAACACAAACCATCAGACTGGAAAACTGTTCTAGAAAGAGCAGAAAACAAAATGAATGGTTAGATGGATTTCCTAACAGTTGTAGATATTTATGTAAAAACTTAAGTATTTCCCATTATTACCCTGATATGATGTGTAAAAATTTGTCTAATCTTATCATCAGTCAATAATAATAACTGCTTTTGTATCCATTTAGTTATACATCATGCAGTGCATCTGCTAATTTGTTTATTTTGAACAAGGGGGTGTTGCAAAATAAATCACTCTTTTTTTTTCCCCCCGAAGTAATGATGAACTTGGTAGGACTGCGAATATCATCACTCATGAGAAAACGTCATTTCAACGTACTCTTGGGTGTTTGACTTTTCAAATTTCATTTTTTGCAAAAACATTTGAATCATGGTGCTCACTAGAACTCGGGTTCGTGTCGCATGTGCTGCCCTTGGGATGGCTCAAACTAGTTGCAGACATGCTTCGAGAATTCAAGTCTTCCAATCAACATCACAATGATAAATTTGGAAAATCTGATTAATGCCTCAAAAGTTTCCAGATTGTTGAATTTGAAAGAGTGGTTCATGAAAAAGTGTTGGAATGTGGATTTGAATCACGGAAATTTCGAAGACAAAATGAAGGGAACGGTTGGAAGAAAGCGCAGACTTTCAGCACCAATAATATTGGAGCTTTTGTTCAACAATGCACAGAAGAAATTATGGAAACTTTGCCTGAATGTGAGAGACACAAACGTGAAACCTTGATTTGTGTTCTCACTGATGTGCTCACGGAGACAATCACAAAAACAGATATGTTTGTTACATTCCTGAAATCTTTTGCAAATCAAATAAAACTTGTGCATGAGAACAATGGTGGCCCAATCAAGCGATATTAATACTTGGAATTACTTTTTTGATTAGATTAAGATCTTATTTTACTTTGTTATGCTCTCGGGGAAAAAAGTGTGATTTATTTTGCAATACCCCTTATCATACAAAATCAATGTGAAAATTATCAAACAGTTGTACAGTTGTAACAAGAACAACATTGAAATATGAAATTAGAGTGAAGCAGATTACTCTTTATACTCATAAATATTGTACTGTTGTATTATTTTTCAAGTATGAAAACTTTTAAATAAACTAATAGTTTTTAAATGAATGTTGATTCGCATTTTGGTTCTTATAGACTGTTATTGTTTTATATTAACTGGCTTGTTGTTATTGGCTAGCGTAAGCTCTGATGGACTGTTATTGTTTTATATTAACTGGCTTGTCGTTACTGGCTAGCGTAAGCTCTGATGGAATGTTATTGTTTTCATGTTACCTTGATGGATCATTACTGGATAGCGTAAGCTCTGATGGACTGTTATTGTTTTTCATATTACCTTGATGGATCATTACTGACTAGCATAAGCTCTGATGGACTGTTATTGTTTTATATTAACTTGATGGATTGTTACTGGCTAGCGTAAGCTCTGATGGACTGTTATTGGTGGTTAAAGTTAGCTATGGTAGACAGTTATTGGTTACTGTTAGCTATGGTGGACAATTATTGGTTACTGTTAGCTATGGTGGACAATTATTGGTTACTGTTAGCTATGGTAGACAGTTACTGGTTACTGTTAGCTATGGTGGACTGTTATTGGGTAATTTTAGCTATGGTAGACAGTAATTGGTTACTCTTAGCTATGGTGGACAGTTATTGGTTACTATTAGCTATGGTGGACAGTTATTGGTTACTGTTAGCTATGGTGGACAATTATTGGTTACTGTTAGCTATGGTGGACAATTATTGGTTACTGTTAGCTATGGTGGACAATTATTGGTTACTGTTAGCTATGGTGGACAGTTATTGGTTACTGTTAGCTATGGTAGACTGTTATTGGTTACTTTTAGCTATGGTAAACAGTTACTGGTTACTTTTAGCTATGGTAGACAGTTACTGGTTACTGTTAGCTATGGTAGACAGTTACTGGTTACTGTTAGCTATGGTAGACAGTTACTGGTTACTGTTAGCTATGGTAGTCCACCATAGCTAACAGTAACCAATAACTGTCCACCATAGCTAACAGTAACCAATAACTGTCCACCATAGCTAATAGTAACCAATAACTGTCTACCATAGCTAACAGTAACCAGTAACTGTCCACCATAGCTAAGAGTAACCAATAACTGTCCACCATAGCTAACAGTAACCAGTAACTGTCTACCACAGCTAACAGTAACCAGTAACTGTCTACCACAGCTAACAGTAACCAGTAACTG